ACATAGAAAATCCTACATATGTATCAAGAAAACTACTGGAACTAACAGAAGAATTTAGCAAAGTGACAGGGTACAAGATCAGCATAAAATAATCATCTGAATTCCTCTGATGGCATGTTGTTGTTGTCATTTGCCATCAAGTCGGACCTGATTTGTAGCGACCCCTCTTTGGGTTTCCGAGGTGTATCACTACAGAAGTAGATTGCCCAACTTTCCTTCTGAGGAGTGGCTGGTGGGTTTGATCTGCCAGCCTACTGGTTAGCAGTCAAGTGCCTTAGGCACTACACCACCAGAGCTCCTCTCTGGTGGCATAGTGCTGCTACATCTTTCTCATAGAGTAGTTGGTGGCTTTCAACTGTCAATATTTTGTTAGCAGCCATGTGCTTAATCACTGCACGACCCAGGCTCTGTTACGACCCCATAGCCTTATTTTTTCATTCTAACTCTCCTCCCCCCTCCTTGTGCACTGAATTTCATAAAAGAATAATCAGAATCCTCTACATTCTCAGTTTTTTATACGAATATTCCTTTCATTTTCTTTTTTTCCTGGGTCTGCCTTCTAGAGGCTGCTTGTACGTAGTGGAGGCTGTTTTCTCAGTCAAGCCTTTTGTGCCAATAGGCCTGTAGATGAGGTTTTGCTGTCATTGTTTCTCATTGTTACTTCTAGCTCGTAGCCTGTCTCTGTTCCCTGATAATCCCTAGCTTTTTGTGTCCATCACACTCATCTTTGTCTCAGGTTATCTCCTGCTTCATCTCACCTCATTACTGGAAAGCACTGGTTCCTGGCTTACTCTCAATCTTACAAGATTCTATGAGAATTCTTAATGATTTTAATATCCATATGGGTGGTTTTCTTTCAGAAGATTAACAATAAAAAGTATTTCAAATACAATTTATTTTATTTAATGGGTCTTGGATTACTGGTTGCAAATATAATTCCCTTTCTCCTCTTCTTTTCTTTACTGAATTAGCAACTATGAAATGCTTCAGAAATTATAGAAAATGTAATTAGTAGTTTTCTTGTAATTATATATTATATATTTTATTAGAATCATTAAGGTTAAGAATAATGATAACTATAAAAAAACATAGAGTGTGGGAGCTCTGGTAGCATAGTGGCTAAGACACTTGCCTGCTAACCAGAAGGCTGGTGTTTCAAACCCACCAGCCACTCCTCGGAAGGAAAGTTGGGTAATCCTACTTCCGTAGTGATACTGCCTCGGAAACCCAAGGAGAGGTCACTCTGAGTCGGGGCCAACTCGACGGCACATAACAACAACAACATAAAAAAAACAAATTCACTGTCCTTGAGTCAATTTCGACTCATAACAACCCCTATTGGGTTTCTGAGGCAGTGAATATTTATGTAACTACGTTGTCCCACCTTCTTTCCATGGAGTGGCTGGTGGGCTTGAACCACCAATATTCTGATTAGCAGTCAAATGCCTTAGGTACTGTGTCAACAGAACCCCTGATAGGTAGCAGTGATTTTTTTTTTTTTTTTTCAGAAGAGTAAACTGGAAGTTAATACCCACTGCCAATGAGTTGATTCCAACCCACAGCAACACTATATGACATAGCACAACTGCTCCTAAGGGTTTGCAAGTATGTAAACCTTTACAGAAATAGACTGCCTCATCTTTCCACCCTGGAATGGCTGGTGGGTTCAAACAGCTCACATTTTTTTGTTAGCAGCCAAACGCTTTTGGCCGCTGGAGCCCCTTAGAAGTTAACACAGTTGCACAAAGTCACATAAATAGAAGTGATGGAGGTAGAAAATTCAACTATATACATCAACCTGAGCCTTTACCTGGCTCAAAGCGTTGCCTACCATTTGAAAATATTTTACTTAAAGGAAAACAAAAACAAAAACAAACGTTTGATAAGGTTTAGTGTTCCACATCTCAATGTGAGTCTGCAAATGTGCTTCTTTCTTACAGCAGTGTGTGAGCATGGAGTAGGGTCAGGGATGTGGATGCCTGAGCACTTGGTAATTGAAATGGGAGGAAGGAGGAGGGCTCTGAGGATAAATATGGCTACTGGCCACTGTGGGATTAA